GACTGAATACTGTCTTCCAGAGGATCAATGTCGAAGATGGAGCCAGGATCTGTGCGCCAAACTTTGAGGTCTTTTCCCAAAAGAAAGAAATGATAAGACAGACAAGCAGTGAAGGAAATAAAAGCATGAGAACAAGAAGTTTTAAAATGACAGGGATTGCCTTGATCTAGACATTAATGGAAAGATCTAGACATTCCTAGACAAGAAGGCATTTGTTTTCTCAGCTGTCATTTAAAAGACTGTGTTGCATTCATTTTAAGTGTTGTACACCATTCATTATGAGCTTTTCCTTTTAATTTTGTCAACCATGACAGTTACATTTTATAAGGCTATACCAATTTTACCAATTTTCTAAGGCTATTCCAATGGAAACAATTAAAAACCCCATTACACTAGATAGCACTAGACAGTTATCTGGTGCTTCTGTGTCTTAACTGTTATTTCTGTTTGTCGTCCTAGAACATAAGTTTCTTAGGGCACAGGCCACATCTTACCCCACATTATCCCAAAGCACTGCTGGACCACAACTTATTAATTTAGTAACAGTTATAACCATAAAACTTTTCCTCACAATTCTATACAGAAATCATTACAAACTTTGCAGTTCACCATCCTGTATTGGATAGCTTAGAATAGAGGTCTTCAGATTAAAAGGTTACATTTTATATGAAGATGTCATTTATAAACAATGTATAAAAGGTTGAAATGGTTACACCATGTTTTACTAAATGACTACTCAATAGTTATAGAGTTCCACAAGTCAAAAGGTTGCTTATAACCATGTATATATAACCATTTATAAAACCTTCTGTCAAAAGGCTTACCACTATCGGTAAAATGTACTGCTTGTGGCTGTAACATGCTTATCAAACCTACTAATCGTTTCAAAATCAAACCCTGATACTAAGTGTGACCAATTAAAATATGGATCTACCAGATAACAGGGAAAAAGGCAAATTGTACATTCATTCATGTGTGTCTTGCTAGACAAGTCATCTGCAGGATTGGATCCCAATATGTTGGAGGAGATTAAATGAACTTGGCCCTGTTGCTGTGGAGGAGTGGAATCAGGCTAATTTATAAGTTACTAGGTAAAGCTGTACCCTGGGGACCCCAAATATGTGGCATCCCAAGTGTTTTATTGGATTGCTTATGCCAGATCCCTGCAATTGGTGACACAACAAGAGCAGGCACAGCCAATAAAACAAGTCCCACAGCCTGGAGCTGGATTCATTGTGTGCGCTACATGTTATCTACCACAGCCTTACATTGGAGTGTAGTACTAGCTCCTGCAGACAAAATGAATGGAAAGCCAATGTACAGTCAGTTAGCCCTAGCAATGACAATTGGAACTTCTATGTAAAGCACAGACAGGCTTGAAGGAGGAAGTGAATTGGTGAGTCCTCTGTTTTTCACACTTCACTGTGCATTTCTAAATAAAAAACTTGAAAACTACGTACGGACTTCAGTATACAAACCATTTATTTATTATATTGATTTTATGCTCCTGTGTAGTCTGCAATAATGTATATAAAACAAGAACCTTGCAATTCACTTCATCAGATGGGGCACTTTAGCTTCATTGTGACCTCTATCCAACTGAAAATATTGTCGTTGGGTGTTGACCTATATAAGCTACATGGACCCACTTTATTTCACCAATCCATAGACAGATCAGAATTTGGGGGCTGGGAAATATCCCATTTATTTCAATGGTTTTGGACTGTCCTATTATGCGTAACATAAAATTCCATTTTCTAGAGCAGAGTTGTTAATTTTGGCATTGTTCGGGCACTGAAAAAAGTTGTTAGGGCTCCACTGATTACACTTAGAGAGCCCACCAGATAGGTTCTAATAAGAAAGTATTACTCCCTACCTGAATGAACATTTATCAGCTGGGGTTAACTTAAGAGAGTCAGGGCTGGGTTGTTTTTGACCCTGCAATCTTTTCCAGATGCCAACAACCTCCCCTGAAGGAGTTCTTTGATTCTTTTTAAACAAGTCTATGTGATTGCAAGTCATTTGAGAAAGACATTAACTGAAATATTAGTAAATGTAAAGCTCTCAGGTTTGTCATGGGCTACTTCCATTAAATAATTATTGTTTTTTGCTTTCACTTCTTTTAAAAAAAAAGCTATTTCTCTTTATTTTTTCTTTTATTAAAGGACTTCTATTTGACAAATGGTACAGAAGTGCTAACTTTTCCTCAGTAAGTTATTTATAAGCGGGGAAGTTTATGTTCTGCAACATGAGCTCAGTTATGACTGACTGGAGTGTGTGCCACTGAGCCCTTCTGTCATTATACTCATGGTTGCGTTAGTGAATTACACGTACACAAAGCAAAAATAAAGCTTACAATGCAACACTGGGTGGGTTTTAAAACATGTGCTGAATAGGAGGATGTTGTGGACCACACGAATGCGTGAGCTCTTCAACTCCTAGCTGACTACCTTGCTTCTAGTTGTGGCAGCAACTGGGGGGAGGGACAGCTCAGTGGTTTGAGCATTGGCCTGCTAAACCCAGGGTTGTGAGTTCAATCCTTGAGGGGGCCATTTAGGGATCTGGGGCAAAAATCTGTCTGGAGATTGGTCCTGCATTGAGGGGGTTGGACTAGATGACCTCCTGAGGTCCCTTCCAACCCTGATAATCTATGATTCTATGAAGTCAGATGGTTGTTCTGGCTTTGGGGTCTTCATGGCAGGCCAATGATTCCTCATACTAGGTTGTGTTGCCTTAGTGCCAAGATGTGCAAGGCCTTCACAGTCTGAAAAGCTATCTTCCACTGGGTAGAGCTCTGTCACTCCCTGTTATAAAATTCTCTATGATAGAAGGCCATGTCTTCTTAGTCTCCATTCAATTCTATCATAAATTACCCTTGTGATTAGGTACAGAAGTCTCTAGAATGAACATCTTGGGGATTCTTGTGGCCTGTATTCATGCCAGGCAGAGCAAATGAGAAAATAGGACAACCAGAAAGAGAAAAATGAATAAAGCCAGGTTCTCTTCCCCTTTCCCATTACATTTCTGCTAACTTTTAGGATTTAGATTTTCTTTTTTCAGTTTGAGCAAATATTAGTTGATATGAAAATTCAGGGAGACAGTTGGACTCAAGACCTCAAAATGTTATGGCCCAGAGAGCTACCGTGTCCATTTCCTTCTCTCTGACCACTTATGGCCTTAACCTGAACAATCCTTTAGAGCATCTGTTCTTGAGCTGTGGCCTACCTGAAGAGCTACTGGCAAGCCACAGAATGAGATGTTGTCATAAGAACATAAGAACGGCCATTCTGGGTCAGACCAAAGGTCCATCAAGCCCAGTATCCTGTCCTCTGACAGTGGTCAATGGCAGGTGCCCCAAAGGCAATGAACAGACAGGTTATCATCAAGTGACCCATGCTCTGTCACCCAATCCCAGCTTCTGGCAAACAGAGGCTGGGGACACCATTCCTGCCCATCCTGGCTAATAGCCATTGATGGACCTATCTTCCATGAATCTATCTAGCTCCCTTTTGAACCCCGTTATAATATTGGCCTTCACCACACCCTCTGGCAAGGAGTTCCAGAGGTTGACAGTGTGTTGCGTGAAAAAAATACTTTCTTGTGTTTGTTTTAAACCTGCTATCTATTAATTTCATTTGGTGGCCCCTTGTTCTTGTATTATGAGAAGGAGTAAATAACACTTCCTTATTTACTTTCTCTATACCACTCATGATTTTACAGATCTCGATCATATCCCCCTTTAGTCGCCTCTTTTCCAAGCTGAAAAGTTCCAGTCTTATTAATCTCTCCACATACGGAAGCCGCTCTATACTCCTAATAATTTTTGTTGCCCTTTTCTGAACCCTTTCCAATTCCAATATATCTTTTTTGAAATGGGGCGACCACATCGGCACGCAGTTTTCAAGGTGTGGGCGTACCATAGATTTATATAGAGGCAAAATGCTAGGACCATGTGTACCACTCTTATGGAGCATTCCCAAGGCATTATAGGTAGGGAGAGGAGGCGATTGATGAAGGGGGTCCTTTCCTTATGAACTGATCTGCAGAATTTAAATCATGGAGAACCGTTGTGTTAGAGGGATACAAGTTTATTCAAACTGAAGAACACTACAGCCCTAGATCTCTCTTGAACAGTGAATGCCAGTTACATCAATGTTCAAGTTAAAGAAAAACTGCATTGACTATTTATAGCATCTTACAAAGTTAGGTAGCAAATGAGAACATATCCCGCCAGCTTCTAGAAATACCTGTTACTGTTTCAGATCTTCATAATATTAATGATTTCATTAGAAGCTGCCATTGTACTGATACTTCAGTACAAGTTTCACACTGGGAAATGCAGACTAGGAATGAAAGCATTTGATTACTATTTGAATTCATAGGAGAGGTGGTTCTACTTTTAAATTAAAAAAAAAATAGAATTTATACCTTAAAACAAATGTCTGCCTCTCCATGCATTCCAAGGGTGAAGCTGAATTCTCTCAGGGCTAATCTACAGCAGACTGTCAATAGCAGTTTTCTATTGGATTATTTATTTGCATTAAATATTATAAAGTCTCAAATATAATAATTTACTCTTTGTAGTTCGATGTAGTGATTAGAATACCTTTTATATTACTCTGCAATTTTCCTCTTCTTATGGTTTTGTAAAGCTAGTATCTAGAACAAGTCTTTCATTTTAACATTTGATTACTTAATGTCCTCATTAGTTTGAAGCTGATAAGGTTGATTACAATTACCCATTCTGCCTGGCAATTATTCTCTGAAACCCCAATTCTGACCCTTAATTTTAATTTAAAAGAAAAAAACCTCACAAGATAATGAATTGAGGAAGAGTGTATAGTGACTAATAAGGTAAGCTAATGATATTTAACACCATCATCACAATCAGAGCCAAGTAAAATGAAAAAAGGGGATATTTTTCTTGGTTATAAGGAGGAGAAGCAGAGCCTTTTATCTTCACACAGATCTCTGGACAGCAACATTATTTAACAACTTACCAACAATTATTCCGGGTCTTCTATCCATTTCAACTATATGTGGATGCACTCCTTTATATGCAGCATCACTCATAACCTGGGTGTTTTTTCTCACCCGTTCTGTCACAGGATCATCCACCACTGGTGTAAAACCTCTGCCCTTTGTCTTCTCAAAATCTTCATGATATTTTACCTGGAAAAGAATAGGAATGTTTTTTCCCCCAGCAGTGACTGATATTAACCCATCTGAATTATGCTAAAACTAGCAAGAACTATTTCATAATGAGCAATTTTATTCCTTGATTTTTGCACCATAATAGTATCATAGAAACAGAGATGGAAAAGACCTGACAGGTGGTCCAGTCCATCTCCTTGATATGATTTCATTACATACTTGCTACCATTTAAAAAAAAAACAACACTTTTTTTTTGCTTGCCATTCCATCATGCATTAACTCAAGCTCCTGAGCGTCTTCACGCAATGATGCTGACTTGTACATCTAACGATGTAAACAACCCTGTGATATTAGGACAGGGTTCTGAAGGATCTCTTAAAAAGTAATTTAATTCATTAGGAATTTTGCTGACATGCACAGTTTTATATAAAAAATATACTCCCTCCTCTGACTTTTCTTTTTAAGCACCAGTTGGTTGTATAAAGATAGAAATTATGGGCAATTAAGCTGTTCCTATGCAGTCTGCTTTCCAAAAAGGGACAGAAGAGAAGAAGAAAAATTATATACCAAGCCTTGGAACAAAACTGATACGAGTAAGTGTTATAAAGGCAGTATCCCTGATTATGCATTATTTGATTTTTTAAAAAGATTCTTAATCAGTGATGTTTTTAATGTGTATATACAACATACATACACACACACTCAACACAATTAATTTCAAGACTCAAGTCACACACAATTCAGGAACATGCACAGGCACAAAGTGGTGTGTGTCACCTAATCCAGTCAAACTGTGGGATGCTCAAACGGTGAGGAACAGCCTGAAGTTTCTTTTTTTTTTAAAACCAGACAATCAACTGTTAGAAAGCCATTTATTAGTATTTTGACAATATTCATTACATTCATATGCGGTTAGCAACCCCTCTCTCCCTTGAATGGCATAAGAGAAAAAACAGTTTCCATACTTTATTACAGTGTTTAATTAGTTACCTAGATTAATGAAGGGTAAACGCCAGTGTACAGTCAAGTGTCATTCCTTAGTATAGTCTAGTTATTTGAAGAATGTACCCTACCATTGAGATGTTGTTTTGTGTTTCTCTGACATGCCTTAGCTCAGGTGTATCAAGAATCACACTAGGTCTACCTTTCATCTGCTTCTGATCACTGCTGTACTTGACCTACAAAACAGCAACAACAGTACACATGAAGCATTCATTTACATTGAAAGACACTGCAAATATGAAGCCTCACAATAATGACATTTCCAAATCATTTTTATACAAACTTTTTCTGTTTCCTCCTCTCTCACAACTGCTGTTTTTTGTTTGTTTTTTAAATCTAGGATGCGGGTGGTGGAGGGGACTGGAAATGGCCAATGGACACATTCATTCCATTGGCCACTCATTCAAAAAGTCAGTAGTGGCTGAAAGTCAAACTTCTTGACTGTTCAGTGGTATATGTGAAATAGGTCATGAACAAGTTCTTACTAGTCAAAGTGAACATTACAAAAAATACCATCATAATTGGCTCTCTGAAAGGTGTTAGTGCTTGTGCTCAGAATGGAATATGGAGACTGAACTACCAGACCTTCCCTAGATAGTCCCTATCTCTTTCCTCCAGCAGGGATAGAGCATGCTGTAAGAACTTTTATGTCACCAGAGGATTGATCCCCTTGATATTTGGGAGATCCTCCCAGGGCTGCATATGCCAGTTCTATGCCCAGACTTTGCCAGAAGTACAGGTGCAAAATGGTTGCACCACATCTGAGGATCATCTTGGTACATTTAGAAAATGAGCATTTATGCCCTATGTGTTGCATGTGCAGCAGTCGTCATTACTATCTACAATGTTACCTTGTGCCTAATTAATATTGCAGTGGTATTCAATATACTTAGCATACTGAATGCCAGGGATAGCACAGTAACATTAATTACTTGCAAATAGCAATTGTCAAGTTTTTAATACAGCAAATGTTTCTAGTTGGAAAGAGGGAGTCAATTAGCATAGACTTCTGTGTCATTCCAGTAGACTGGAGTACTTTCACTAATGGACACTCTCATCTTAGTCTTCGTTTCTGAACCATAACATGCAGATTGCATGCAAATATATATCATTTTAGATATATCCATGCATTTACACTCAAAAGTATCTCCTCTCAAAGCATGTGCACAAATCTATTATAATATGCTTTTATACTGAGAGGATAATAGAATATAATCCCAACTATTCAGCAGATAAATGAATATCTATGTTTGTTTAATAATCCTTGAGCAATCCACAGTATAAACTACAACATAGTCTCTAAAGATTTGTTAGGCAGTGGTTTTTTTAAATAAATGTGCTTTAACAGTATACAATGAAAATTTAAAATGTAACTGTCTTTCTTGATACCAACATACTTATCTTACATCATATAATTACTGCCAATGCATTTCATTACATCTCTGAGCCACTGCTCATTAGTATGGCAGAGCATTTATCAAGGCAATTTTGGGGAAAGTCTCTGTAAAAATATCTTAGTTTGCAGGAATAATGATTAAAATAATTAAAACTCATGAGTACATTTTTGTGATAAAGAAATTAAATATCTCAGAACCAGGTATCTAAATTACATTTGTTCTTACATTTTAAGGGCATCTCATGGTCACTTGGATCAACAGTTATTGTTCCTTTGCCTCTTATGTAGTCTCTCTGACAAACCCAGCTTCCTCTACTCTTTCTCTGATAAACACTAAGTTTTAGGGTGTTCTTTACTATCACCTCTCTTCCAACATCTCTTGTCCAACACCTGCTCTAGATGAAATCCTGACCTCATTGAATTTAATTAGAGTTTTGCCACTGATGTCTTTGGGCCCAGGAGTTCACCTCTTGTGTTCTGGTGCTTGGGGCACTCCCTGCAAGTTGCTTGACTGATTGTTTCTGTCCCTATGCCACTTTGGCTAATTCCCTGCTCTCTAATAGCCTCCTCTAAAGTTTATTCAAATGTTCACTCATACATCTATCCTCTCAAACACTTAGAAAATGTCATAATGATAAAAAGTTAATGGCCAGTTAAAAACAGAAACAAAAGCCTTGAACATAATGAATCATGAAATCCAAGACAAATATACAGCCTTACTCATTGATAGTAAGGCAATAGGATCCCTTTTGGACCAGTCATCTCTGATATGGATAAAGCACAACATAATGCAACATGGAACAGAAACCTATGTTCAAGTTTCCATGCTTTGAATCAAAAAAAGCTGAGCTTGCATTGAGTTTAGAATTCTCGTTCTTTTTGTCCTTTACCCTAGAGTTTACTTCTGAAGCTTGGTAACAAGAGACTAAGATTTCTCAAACAGAATCCAGATTGACATAGGATGACTTTCTCCTTGTAGAGCACTGCCCCAGATATCCACTTGCATTTTGTGTAATAGTAATTATGGGAAGCATGGGTACTTTTGTTGCCCATGGTGGTACGTGCAGTATATATTTTCAAAGATTAAGAATTCACGTTCAAACGGATGATGCAATGGGATGCATTTATCACATCAAATCTAAATTGAAAAGCATACCCTTGTTATGAAAATAAACAGAGCAAAAAGATTCAACAACTTGCCGAACTGATATTGTCTTGATTCTTCTTGACTCTCTCCATCTCAGGAGTGACACTCACAGAAGTAGCTTTGGCAGGCTGCCCTTTATAGTGAACCTATTATTTCACAGAATAAAAATTGTATATACTATTTCAACAAAACCATGTTACATTACATTAAAGCATATGATTTAAAAGGTCATCCAGGAAACAAATCAAAGGATAAACTGCATTTGAAATTTATTAAAGCTTATAAAACTTGATTCTTGAAAAATAACCTTGAATTCTTCCTATGGATTTTTATTATTTATGTACTTGTGTGTACATACACACAGAAACACTGTAAAAAGAACAGGAGTACTTGTGGCACCTTAGAGACTAACAAATTTATTTGAGCATAAGCTTTCGTGGGCTATAGTCCACTTCATCAGATTCATAGAATGGAACATATAGTAAGAAATATATATACATACAGAGAACATGAAAAGGTGGAAGTAGCCATACCAACTGTAAGAGGCTAATTAATTAAGATGAGATATTATCAGCAGAAGAAAAAAAACTTTTGTAGTGATAATCAAGATGGCCCATTTTACACAGTTGACAAGAAGGTGTGAGGATACACATTTTTTTTCTCCTGCTGATAATACTTCATCTTAATTAATTAGCCTCTTACAGTTGGTATGGCTACTTCCACCTTTTCATGTTCTCTATATGTATATATATTTCTTAAGGTGCCACAAGTACTCTTGTTCTTTTTGAGGATACAGACTAACACGGCTGCTACTCTGAAACAGAAACACTGTGTACACCAATTAATAACTTGGCATTTACTGTACTAAAGTTTATCGTATTTATGGTACTCCCTCCACTTAGAATAGGGCATACCACAAATACTGCAGTAAATTTAATGAGAGCAAATGGTAAGTGTCGAGATTTTAATGGCACCCAGTGTATATAAAAAAACAAACCAATAAACCCAGAGATCACATAAAGGATACATCCATGTTCCAAATTGCATGCACTATTTCCATTGCTGATTATCCGGGGTGATGGAGTACACAGAGGAGTGTGACAGAGAGCACAAGGGAACAGAGAGAATTAAAATCAATTGTCAAAATCACATGTTTATTTAAATGTACTTTGCATTTTTTTTAATTAAAGGAAGTACACATCTAAAGGTAATGCATTAAACTCATGCATGTTAGAATGGCCGTACCGGGTCAGACCAAAGGTCCATCTAGCCCAGTATCCTGTCTACCGACAGTGGCCAATGCCAGGTGCCCCAGAGGGAGTGAACCTAACAGGTAATGATCAAGTGATCTCTCTCCTGCCATCCATCTCCACCCTCTGACAAACAGAGGCTAGGGACACCATTCCTTACCCATCCTGGCTAATAGCCATTAATGGACTTAATCACCATGAATTTATCCAGTTCTCTTTTCA